ACGGACAAGAACACACATACGCATACACACCTACACCCACGAGTAATATTTGTACTTTCATATACATAGTTTGAATATATTTCCTACTTTTAATATTCCTCGCAAGTGATTATTTCGAGGTGTACCCAATCTCCTTTGTGCCATGTTAAAGTCGTCGCGAGAAGCGACGACCACTGAAGCCGCGATACTTGGCCCCAGTGGTGTTTCGGAGAGCGAGACCCACGTATAAAGTTTATTAGAAGTGTTGCCGAGGGTACCCGGGCAACACAGGCCCGGTCGAGGTCGCAAGTTCCACCTCGTTATTCAGCATCGGCAGCACCCCGTAACATGGTCTGTGACTCTTATGCTTGTAGGTAAACTAGAAATTTAATACAACCAATTAGTGTATAAGCGTATATTTGAACAGCTAAATCATTGTACCATGAGGTGCATATGTATAGATGGCAGCACTTTTCAAACAAGCACTCTATATCCTTCATATATGCCCTTTTCTCAATATCCAACAGACATAGATTCACAATACTATACCACATACTTTCTTTTTTTAAGAAATTTTCTGAAATCATAAATAAAAATTAGAAAAAGCGAGGGAATGTACGGCTCGTCAATAGCTCAAATGGTTAAGCAACTGTCTAGTAAATAGTAGGTTGTATAAATAAGAATTTTGGAGGCCAGCTCACTCTCAAAGGGATAAGAAGAGGGGTGCTTACGCATCTGCGCGAAGCTCGAATATCTACTTTATCGAGCTTAGGTGGAAGACAGTTTTAAAATTAAGAATGAAAACTTATCTTAACTTACGATGTGAGTGAATATACGGCTTTTTGGTAGCTCTAATGGTAGAGCAACTATCTAGTAAACAAGAGGTTGTGTGCTTGTTCCGCACCCAAAAATGATATTTTTCTCATTCTTATTTATTATTTAAGAATATTTCTTGAAAAATAAAATCATGTGGTTTAGTATTGTGAATCCTTGGTGTGTTAAATATTGAGAAAAGGACATGTATGGAGGATGTAGAGTGCTTGTTTAAAAAGTACCATCTTCTTTATATATGCGCCTCATGATACAAGGGTTCAGATGTATCAACATTCGCTTGTGTACCTATTGCTCGTATTAAATTTTTAAATAAAATTTTTCAATAAAATTTTGTAGCTAGATGTCCTTAGCAAAACTGTTAGTGACATTTCTTAACATACCTTCTGCTAACCATACAAAATTGTTATCGATGTCAATGAAAAAAACTTAAAACCGAAGTACATAGCTTATTGGTATTAGATAAATCTATCCCATGAACTAAGTTGATTTGCATTAAATACTTGACTGGTTATAGAACTATAAACATTTGTAAAGTTGACTTGAGGTCATAATAATGAAAGTTTGTTGTAATAGAAAAAATCTCAAGCTTTCTAATAGCATAAGAAAAATTGGGACTTATCATAAAAATATTATATGATATATCATAAAATCAAAAATTTAGCAAACAGCGAGAGTAAGATGTCTGCCATGTAAATGAGCAGACTTAGCATGCGCGCACCAATTTTAAATGATCCACTTACTTATCAGGTGAGTGCATGAATATGTCAATCAGTGAAACAATTTCACGGTTATAATTTTTTTGGAAATTTTCCTTTTATTTTTTCGCTCGTTCATTTGACAGAATACACTTTCGTTATATTACTACAATATGATTATAATTATTCAATAATTTTAACAACTTCAAACAATAACAAAGCTTAAAAGGTAAGATACACTATGTGACAAGGTGAAGGGTGACGTTTCATGGTAGTATGTGTATGGGTAGTATAGTTACATGTAGCATTTAGTTATGTCTGCTTAAGTAGAGACTTATAAGTAATTTTCAGTTTTTACGCGCAGAAAAAAGAAATTTGTTTTTTTAACATAACATAACCACATTTATTCTTTTATACATAACATGATGTTATAGTCAAGTGCATTTCTAAGACATTTCATGTTGTACATAGTAAGCTGATTGAAAATCAAAAGACCACTGGGGCCTGTGGCACATTTATATTGTGAAAAACTATTTGAGGAATCATTATATAAGAATTTTTTAGTAGAAGTTAAGTAGCTATTTTTTGCGCAAACGTTTGCTATCTATAACTGAAACGCAATCCATAATTAATTAAAAATAGTTTGAAATTTGAAATAAAAAAGTATATTTTTTAAAAGGTTAGTGTATCTCTATAAAATTACTTTTTCACAAAACTAATAGGTTAGATGACTTTGATGTGTTAAATTAATATTTTGTAGTAGACTTGTAAAGCGCTTACACACTTACAATAAAAAGTATTTTTCCTAATGAATATTTAGCCTTGAAAAATTATAACATGAAAATATAAGAACGGTAAATTTTTTTTCGGTGCAGCATACTTTTTTTATGCCGTTCGTAGTATAATACTGTCGAATTCTCGTACTTAAACAAAATGTAACTAAGTAATATTAACTTTCGACTAGTACTTTATACGGGCCTTACATCTATTACAATAATTTCCTGATATGTCGTTAGTATATAGAAGTTTTATGGCATTACTTAATATCTGTTAAAACACCTATGGTAGCTAAGTAAAGAATTATCTAGATCCCGAGTAAATAGTCACCTAAGGTTAGCTCAAGGATTATAAATACGAGATCTGAGCATTTTGGGCCTTCACGACCGTACTGTGTATACATTTTCCGACCTCTTGACCAGAACTGGTATATAAATGCAATAATTTTTTCTCAATGATAAAATGATGCGGTTGTATGGCTCTAAAACAAACGAAGCGGGCCAAGCTACATTCTTTATAAATCAAAGTATACGACCTGCGCTCTGGGCAGTTATAGGTTTGTTTAAGGCTAGGTGTGGTGTTAATCTGTTTGATATAAGGTTAATATATGATATAAGTCACAAGTCAATATTACTTAGTTTGTTTCTGTCAAATTACTTTAAGTAACAAAGTTTAGTGTATTTTTGTCATACAAAAAGAGTGCAGCCAAAAAAAAATCTTGGTCTTAGAACATTGCAAGGATAAAGATTCATTGGCAGGAACAGTTTTTTGCCTGTCTATGAGGTCTTTATAAACTCCTTAAAAAATATGAATTTAACGCATGAAACTTATCCAATCTTCTACTTTTGCTTAAAGGTGTACTCTCATGGGGTGCATATAATTTCGTTTCATAATTCTCATTTAACATGTGATTTATTCTTTGTACTTGCTTTTTACATTTACAAGTTTGTATATTCTCAATTCAGAATATTGTTAAATATACTTTTTCTTTATAATACTTGTACTATATGTTTTAAGTACTACTGTTAAAGCCTAGCTTTATCGATTATGCAGAATACCTTTGCATGAGAAAAAATTATGTATTATTATTATTTGTGTATGTAGAAAAGATAATGTGGCACGTTCATTATGGATGATTTTTTTTCAGTGAAATTTTGCATGGTGTTATAGAGTACATGTAAGTAATTTTATGTAGAACAATTGGAGTGTTTCGTCATGTAAAATTAACGCTATCTGTAACATGATAAACTAGATAATGCTAAATAATTTAATAAGACGGTTATTGTGATGTTTTATTTATTATAGAAATAAAAAAAACATTATGAGATACTTATTTCATCACAACACATAACAGATTAAAGTTTCAGAGAAACTAGCTTCTTAGTTTTTTAAGAAAGAATTTTCAAAATTTTTTGGTTACACCTCTTATGGAGAGGTCACCACGAGCTCGCTGTCAACGATACGTATTCTCAATAAACTTGTATAATTTTTAATAGATTTTCGTTAAAAACTAATATGCCAAGACTGACTGTATTAAAAATCACTGTCCCAAATTTCGGAATGCCTAGATTCATCGTTTATATCATGTTGTAATATAAATTAGCCCATTTTTTCAAAAATTTAACGGAAACAAAGCAAGCAAATGACTATATCCAAACTGCACATGTACGAGTACAGTCACTTACAAAAGTTCATCGTTATGGAAAGAGAAGGGTGTACACTCATTGGATATCGATGCACCAAACTTTTAACGCGTATTGTACCACGATTACCTCCTTAAGACATCTATGTTTCATATAATGGATAAAGTACTGGATCATGGATCTCATTTAAATTAATTTCTACGGATAATAATTGATGAAGTATTGAAAACTTGAAAGTTTAACTATAGTTTAAAATACAATATAATATACTGTGTCAAATAAGTTAATAAAATATATATTTTTTAACCATGAATGATGTATTTATTTTAAGTATTGACACTAAATTTTGAGTTTAACAAATCCTTATAGTGCTTTTTTACATTATTCACAGCGAGCTTATAACATCATCTTAAGCTCTATTACACTTTCACCCTTATGTATTTTATTGTTTCCTTATCTTACTTTATGATTTAATTTTCCTTAGTTAACGTACTTTGGTCATTTGATTTCTGTTAAGAACTCGACTTACGTAGGGTACCTTCTGTGTATCCGATATTTCGTCCAATTATTATAAATAAAGTTTTTGAACAGCATCGTCTTTGTTTCTTATTGGTATCAACTTCTAGAGGTTTGTAAGATCGTTACTATATCAATAAGGTTTCAAGTTAGTAATAAAACCATTGTTTGTCAACTATTGAAATTATTGTATAAAATTGTTCCTAAGCATAAATATTATTTTTATCGTAATGTTTGTAGACGTCTTATCACTTTCCATTTTCATATTGATGTTTTTTTTTAATGGTGAAAAGACTTCTTGCTGTTACAAAAGTAAATTTCATCAATAGAAAACAAACATGTACATTCAAAATAAAAATTTAGTTTAAAAAAAAAAATCTTACGTGTCTTTTAGTTGAATCTCATTATTAACGATAATATCATATCGTTATTGCTGAAAATTCTTTTTACGTTAACATAATACATTTTCAAAATAGAATATTTTTAAATATTGTACTTTGTTTAATAAAAATTACAAGTCTCCAGAACACTTAATTACTTTTCTGGTTTGTGCAAATGGTAATTATAGTCGTGAAATCAAGGTAACTCTAAACAAAATAACCTCACTTTATAGTATCAAGAAAAAAAAACAATAATGGTTAAGAGCATAAGTATGAAGCTGGAATTCAAAGAGTTATAACTGTTATTTTTAGAGTAATAATCAACAATGTGAATTTTCCAGCCCATGTTAGCATGAGTGAAAGAGTTGTAGTAGACAGTATCTGGCCAAGATGAATTAGGTGTCACCTCGAGTACACCAGCTTCTCCTGTAAATGAGATTTAACCAATGTATTAGGAAAATGTCAATTACCATATGACTAGGATACTATAAACATATTAACTACTTACCAGGCTCACAAGAATAAATAAGAGTTCGATTAAACTTCTTGAAAGTCAAAAAATCATCGTCCAGTCGCCGATCGCGATTATTGTGTTTACTCAGGCACAGTGGTCCAACTAAAATTATGATTAAGCCAGTTATAAATCTTTATATATAATAATATACATGTATAATACGTTTTTCTTTTTAATATTGCTACTTAGTTGATATTAAGTCAACGAAAAAAAGACATTTTTTTTGCAAATCTTATCCTGTAGAAAAATTGAAACGTTCTAAAAAACTGTAACTCAACGTCAAATAACAACCTTATGCTTCAGCCACCGTGATTGGGTTATGATCGCAATATAAAAACGCTATTCTTATATAATAAATCTATTTTACAACTTGTTCCTGATCGTATATGTGTTGACACCAAAGGTAATGGGTGTGTGGTCGCCAAGTGATGTTTTTTTTACTTTTCCTAGCAAACGAAGTAAACAAGCTTAAAAAAATTTTAAAACACCTAAATCTATTAAATTTTAGCTGCTTTTTTTTAACAGACTAATTACTTTTACGCGANAAAAAAAAACAGAAAACAAGATAGATGTTGGATCAGAATTTGTTAGTTTTTCTTTTTTTAATTTTGTGACTGTAACAAATGCCTTATATAACAGTTTTAATTTTTGACTAGATTTCTTTCACGTGTCTCTCCTTTTTAATTCTCTTTTTATTTTTTCTTGGACACATTAACAATACAAAGTGTTCGTTATAACTATTTTGCATTCTAGAATTCGATACGTCTCTTTTGTCCAACTGCTTGTGAAATAACATAGAAAATAGCAAATAAACAGCAGAAGAAGTGCTCGAGCTCAAAATCTTAAGATTAACTTGAAAGAAATTGTATTATTTTGTACCTTTTTTTAAAATTACAGCAGATACAGTTTTTTAAATGCTTATTTAAATGGTTTTTAAAAAAAAATGAAAAAAAAAACGTACTTCAAGAATAATTAACCAGAAGTTAAACTGAGTTTTTGCTATTAAAAACTTTGTTCTAGCAGGCCCAGACTACACAGTCATAAAAAGCAGGTCATAATCTATCGATCCATATCTCTCTAAATTTTTTTCACCCTCTTTCCATCACTTTCCAGCGAGTTAAATAGAGCACGTTCTACTAAAACAACGGGATGTGCGCGCCAGCTAGCAAATTTCCTTTGGACGTGCTTATATTTAAAAATTGTGCCATCATGTTTTGATAGAAATTTCTCAAAAAAAAAAGGCTTAAAAACACACAGATCAAATTTCAGCTCAAATTACTGGATGAATTCAAAAGCAGTATGAAATTCAAAGTCAGACTTTTAACACAGGCTTTACAAAGCTTTACAATTTATTCACCGAAAATCACGGTTTTCTTTAACTGAAAGTCAGGCTATATATTTAAAAAACTTAGACAAATTTTTGAAAGTAATATGACTTGTAATGGTACTGAAAAAATATAAATTGGTCGAACACAATCGAAGGATATTTAGATTGTTGAAAGTGGATGCCAAGGGCGTTGTAGGTAAGCTCATTGTTTATTCTGCTGCATTACAAGCTCACAAAACTTTAATTCATAAAAATGTGTGTTAAGATCGTATTTATATAAACATTCGTGGGGCACTGTCCCCTGCAACACGCCACTCCTTGCTATTAGATTATGCTATAAGAACAATGTTTTTTGAATAAATTTTGTATTTTTATTATACAAAGTCTTAAAAGTTAATTAATTTATTGTTTTTTAGAAATAAGAAAAATATGGGAAATTTGATCATACCAGATTTGGAGGACCATGACATTTCTTGAAAATACTTTGGAAAACATGTTTTAAGAGGGGGCCTGGGTAAACATTACGGGACTGCATCTACGGGGAAAATAGTTTTTTGTGCCATCCAGGCCCAAAGTACTCTTCTGCCTTAGAGCCCAATGTGATTAACTGGGCGCAAAGTGTGCCTATGGGCGAAAAATCTTACTTTGGGCCCTACGTCAGAAAAACAGTCTACGTGACTCAGGCACAAACCTACAACAAGCGTGCCATTTGGGCGTTCATGTTTGTACTGAGTGGCTTAGTAACGTAATATATTATTATTTCTGTAACAAATTAAAAAAAAATAGTTTTCAAACGGATTTAAACCTTTATCCCCTTGCATACAACCGGAGACCCTTATAAACTCTGCTATGAGAAATCCCAATAAAAAACGTTCGTTTATTTCTTTTGACAATGTGGTTTAAAACTCATTTTCAATGTCAATTTTAATTTAGTTTTCATCAGTTTGTTTAATTTGAAGATGTATAATATTATTAAATAAATGATTTAAGAAACTTCTGTTTTCGTGTGATTTAACTTCGAATTAGTATATTTTAGCAGAGCAGCTTTTCTACGGATCAGTCAATATTTATTTACTTATCATTAATTTGTTACTTTTACGATAAATGAATAATTAGTTATACGACTTTTCTAAAAATAAAAAAAAACAGTATGTAAACCATAGAGAAAAAGTAACTAATATTAATTGCATTTTATTCTTTCACAATTTTTCCATTTTGTGATTCAGGTGTCATTTTGTCTTATATTTTGTAAAGGTATAAAAATAAGAGGAGCGCAAATATATACTGCGTACGTAATAATATGTACTAGTAGAAAAAACCACTTGTAAATCTGCTTAAGAATTTAATAAGTTCATCTTAAAGCAATCTTTCACACACATAAAAATTAGGAGATTCTGACAGATAATATAAGCGCAATTTTATGTAATTTTTCCTTAAGATTACATACTACACTGCAATTTTTTTTAACTTAAACATATAAAATAAGGATACAGTTCAACCATTTGCAATTTCTTGCAGATATTTTTTATGCTATTTCGAACGTACTAATAACGTTTGAATAATATCTGTCTAAAATACTTGTGTGATAAACGTCCTTAAGTAACATTTACTGGTATGTAATACTACCCCATAAGAGATAGTGGTACTACAAGATGGTTTTTCTTAACCTTCTGAGGTACAAACCAATTTTGAGTATTAAATGTATAGTCCATATATAGACTAGTAAAGCGTGTAGAGTAGGAATTAAACGTATGTAACATGTGTGAGCTTGAAGTTACAGATGTAGGCTAGTCTATGTATTGTTTATATTATATGTTGTCGTAATACATTGTTTATATTTATGAAGCATTCTAATTTTTCTTGAAATTAAACAAAATTAAAGTAGGTATATTAATTCAAATGATAATGTCACCACCTTTGTGCAAAATATCGTTTCATGCAAGGTTTATATATATATATATA